TGAGTTGGCACTCTAATTCTTATAGAAATAAAACACTTGATAGTTTAGCAAACGCGTCAAGCTTTCACTACATTGATTTGCTTATAGGGGAGAACAAATGGTATAATATTTTTTAGCAAATAAACTCCAATATAAAGCCTCATTTAAGAACTTTATTACCCCCTGCACTTTCCCCAATTCCCCTCGTCGAATGCTTGTCTTCTGCAAATCCCTCTTTGAATCTCTCTTCTTCTCTCCTTCAAAAAGAAAAAAAAAAGACGCAAGAATTGCATGATCTATTCAAGGCTTTCCCCAACGGTGGCATACCTGCTTCAAATTTACCCTAGCTTTTGTTTTAATGTTGGAAATCAATATGTAGTTAAAAAGAATTTTTCCCTAGCTTTGGTCAAAGTACCTAAAATCGGTTGACCATATTCGATATGGAACCCACACCCATGCAGCAGGGATTTTGAAGAGTACGCGCAACATAGCTTGACAGAGAATGGACCTATCATAAGTGTAACAACGACAACTAAACCCTAATTTAACTAATTGTTATCACCTATATGAATCCTTTGCTTCCATTGTGTTTGTCTTTTTGCTATGCTCGTATTTATTCCAATAGATTTTAGGTATTTTAGAATAACTTCTATTTTCAACAATGTCAGAAGTTAAGTAGCTCAGTTTTATTTGGAAGAAAATTGAACACATTATATTGCAATATAAGGCATTAGTTCTTTCACTCATAAATGCGACTAGTCAATTTAAAAGCCTGATAAATGTTTTTCTTATGTGACAGTAGAAAACCTTGTAGCTAACTGCCTCAGATTCATCAGTACTAAGTCATTTATCTGCTGTTGATAAAAGGGTGGTGGGTGGGTGGTTTGAGGGAGCTGGGTGTTGCATTTGAGGGATGCAATTAGTGGTATCAGGCAATGGGGGTGATCTTAAAGCTAGCGCCCAATAGGTTTTGACAGGAGATGGTAATTTCTATTGATAGCATTAAAGTTCTTGAGGAAAAGAAATGGAGTACAAGCTTCAGTATTGACTGCATTGCAGATAAATGGATTGTGAGCTGCAAATGGCTCAATGATAATGCTTTTTTCCAACTTCTGTTGATGCAAGCAGCTATTTTCTGACACTAAAAAAAACTAAAAGCTATACACAAATTCATAATAAGTGAGACGAACTTTAGTTGTGCTGAATCTGAAGTTTTGTGCTTAGAAAAGTTTCCTCTGGATGTATGTTATTGCATATGTATTAAATGTTTGCGTGAGGCATATTCAATGTGTTGAGCATCTTCATTTGCCATTTTGCAAGACAAGAAACTGCTAACATGTGCTTTTCATCATCAATATGCTTTAATACTTATGTTGCACGGTTCTAGCGAGGCAAACGTGCTTTCTTACCATATATTTATCAGAAAAGGACTTTGGGTCTGTTATTTTTAATCAAGTATTGGGTAACATCATTTACTGCTAAGTTCTATTTTAAGAACACTTAGGTACTTATAATTTTTGCCTTACTGAGGATGGACTACTAAGTTTGGACTCCAAAGCAGTGTGTGCAAATATTTTTGCTCAACTGTTATCCAATAGCATAGTTTGCTGCTACACTTCTATTACTTTTGTTCCATCAGAGTTTTTCTTTTTTGATATTGTCATCACCTAATTGTTTAAATATATTAATAGCAGCAACAGACAGAACATTTTCCAATGCTTGTTCTTCTTTGGGTTAAGGTTATGCTATTATTATTCTTTATGTGCACTCAAGTTTATTGTGTTGCCTCGTAACGATCAATATTGGCTTCAGCACCCACCTCCTGCCTCGTTTTGCTTAATATCATTTTGGACGATGCTGATTTTCTTATTTAAAGTGAATATCTGGATTTACTTTTACAGGAGGGTCTTGCAGTTGTGGAGAATCGTACTGCAGATATCATTCAGGAAACTCGAAAGCTGCAAATAAGGAAAAAAGATGGCAACTCTGTTCCGCAGAATAATGCATCAAATATTAGTGGTACATGCCAGCAACCTCTGACGCGGACCCACATGCAACCCCAGACACAGACAGATTTAGAAACTCAACTCAAGGCATCTCGCGACGTAAGGTGGCAACTGTGTGACACTGGTTTAGCAATAAATTACCATGCTCTAGCGTTTTACATGCTCGATTCTAATTTTATTGAATTCGTCGCTTTGCTACTAAGAAGCATATAGTCCAACAGATTTAATTTATATCACTGGAAGTCATTTGGTGGCTTTGATGTGTTTATGTGCTTATCTGTGCAAGTGCATGACTTTGTCAGACCTAGAGATGTTACCTGCTTTTATTCTTTATTGTTTCTTTATGTTCACTGATTGGATCCAGAAGATGCCCAGCTTTCAATATTTTCTCTGGATCTTGTGGATTAAGGGGTTCTTTCATTATTCAGGTTTCATACTTTCTTTGTCAACATTAGAATGCGAAAAATACTGTTCACCATCATTATGGAAATATAGAATAGGTAATATGCTGGCATCTCATTGTATTATCTACCCCCAAGATATTGTTGATCCAGGAACTTGTACTGAGTTTTTTTAAGAATTTAATCTCTCTGACTGTGCTGGCCTTAAAATCAGTGAAGATCCTAGAGAAGGAAGTTTCTATGAATGTTCCTGAATGCTGGTTTTATGCCTTGGAAATTACATGTTTTAGTTGTGAGATGCATGATATGTCTGTTTTGGGTTACAGGTTGCAATGGCAATGGCTGCAAAAGCAAAGCTTCTTCTTCGGGAGCTGAAGACTGTGAAAGCTGACCTAGCTTTTGCTAAAGAACGTTGTGCGCAGCTGGAAGAAGAAAATAGGATTCTTCGAGTGAGTCGTGAAAAGGGCGGCAATCCTGAAGATGATGATTTGGTATTCCTACTCTCCCATCTTTACGTCAAAGGAGAATAATTTACAGAATAAGTAAAACACTAAACAATAACAGGAAGGTTGAAATAAACCAGTTCAATATCTTTGTTCATTTCATTTGATGGTTAAGGCAATTGGCTTTTGCAATTTTATTTTTCCTAGCTGCATATGTTGGCAGCTAAACTTTCAATATATGTTGATCTTTGTGTCCAATGGCACGGGGATTTACCGGACCTGCTTTTATGGGGTTTGTTAGGGTGGACCGTTTCGCTTCGTGCCCATAATTCATGGCATGCAGTAATAAGCAGTCGTGCCTGCTTTTTCTTGTGCACTTCTTGCAGATTTCTGTTCTTTTCAAAAAGTTTGTATTTATGGAAATACTTGTGGTTGTGATATGCGCATACAGATAAGGCTCCAGCTTGAAACGCTTTTGGCAGAGAAGGCTAGGTTGGCTCAAGAGAACTCAGTCCTAACACGGGAGAACCGTTTCTTGAGGGAGATTGTTGAATACCACCAGCTCACCATGCAGGATGTCGTCTACCTCGATGAAAATAGTGAAGAAGTGACTGAAGTGTACCCCATAAAGGTACAGACTTACCTTGATGTGCTATTATCGCTGCATATTTTCTATCTTCTTCAAGCTAATTAGCTCCTCTCACCCCAGGTTGCGAGTCCACAAGTGACCAAAGATATATCATCTCATCCTGTGTCATCCTCGGAGCCCAAGGAGGTTTCGTGTGATGTCACCTCTTTGAGCTCTTTTATCCAAATTCCTGCTGAAGATGATTCAGGAAGACATTGATTTTCCGTTCTTGGAATGTATTGCGTGTGCGTCTGATCTCCAAAACAAAGTGTGAATGGGTGTTACAGTGTGATTTACGTTGGCTGAACCTGGCCATCCTGAAACTGAAATATGTATAACTATTAACCTTTTGGTATCATTTATCTTTTCTTTTCTTTTCGTTTTTAGACTATTTTTGGGGTTGGAAAGGAAGAATGCACTGGGGATGGGGGAAAGGTGAAATGTGGCTTGTTAAGTTATGCTTGTAAGCTCGCTGGTTCTCTCTGCAACAAGATGGAGGTCGTTTTGCAAATGTATATTAACATGGAGAATTAATATAATGCTTGTGTAATTGACTTTAGTGTATTCCACTCTTTATGTTGTCCAAATTGGTTGGCGAACTACTTAAATTAGAGTTGAATTTTGAGTAGTAGGGAAATGTTTTTAATGATTATTATTCTTTTTATAGTGGAAGTCTTGTCATGAGCACTGAAAGTGCATAATGTTATGTTGGAAGTGAAAATGCCCTCCCTACTTCACAAGGCACAAACCATTGTAATGTAGCGACTTCTTGTCAGGATGTGAATGAAAATTGTTGCTTCGTTGAGTCCTTTTCTTCCAACCCCATGAATTACTTTTCCTCTTTTCAACTTTCGGGGAGTGGGGCGGAACTCTGGTGAATGACAAAATGGTAACAACGGTGCACCCTGTACGATCGGTGGTGTTGGATGGTAGCTCTTTATCTTGCTGCTTCATTTCAAGAAAAAAACACAAATAANCCCAGGGTCGGTGGCGTTGGATGGTAGCTCTTTATCTTGCTGCTTCATACCAAGAGAAGAAACACAAAATAACTAAACAATTGTACATAGGCAACAAGGAAATGGAGAAGGTTTTACTTGAGAGTGAGTGTCCTGTCCTTTCCCCCTCACTTGAACTTTCTTCTATATTCCGTTTGTTCAGAACAATGTCCTAAAGTCCATTAACAAATATCTTTTAGAGATACGAAGTTACACAGATCATTTTTGGAATTCTCACTGGCAATTAGGTCAACACATAGGTACCCTTTCTTTTTTAACAATTTTGTAAAACTAAAATAAGATAGTCATCCGAAACTATAAAGCACTATCAAAAGCCTGCATGTCACGAGCCAGTGCCAGTCTTGTTATGTTAGAATAAAGGATATCAAAAATGGTCGTCCATAAGTCAAGTTGAGAGTCAAGACTCCATATTTTCTGTAGTGAAGCATTGGTAAGTGTCACGTGTGCAGAAGCTCCCATGTCTCAACAGGTAAGAGTTGAGGTCCCCATTTTCACCTTGATGGTCTAATCTATATATAATATCTATTGCTGAATTGTCTGAATATGACTGGCTTTACTTTCGAGTAAATGCACATAAAATGCGGTGGACTCTTCTCTAGATACAGCTGTATTTTATGGTTGTTGCTCCCCATTTATTTGCTTTCCTTTTTCATATACTATTAATTACTTGCATACCATTTACTCCATTACCCGTTATAATTAATCACCACCAGATCTTTTTTTCCAAAATTTTGTGCTTGTGCTTTTCCTCCTTAATATCCTAATGACAACTACGTTTCTATAGAAAATAATCCACACTTGTGAATATGGGTGCATACAAGATTCTTGTAATCTCTCTCCTGTCCTAAAAAAATCATTTTTGTATGTCTCTCAAGGATGGAAATTTTTCCTGCAGTATTCAAGAGAGAAACTTCCAAATTGCAGTTCATCAAGAGAAATTTCACGCACCCTTTTCAGATCTTCACTCTCTGATGTTTTTTGTTGCATTTCTCTACATTATCCTTCTTCTGCCAGCGCTCAATGCTCAATCAACAAATGCAGAATTTTCAGCACGTTTGCTTGATTCAGTACTTCAAGATTATGCTTTCAGAGCATTTGTTAGGCCAAGAACTGGGATTCCTTACAATGGCAATGTGCCTTCCAATTTCACTGGTATCAAAGTTGCTGCTCTGAGGCTGAGAAGTGGAAGCATGAGGAGAAGGGGTGTTAGCAGATACCAAGAATTTCATATCCCAATTGGTGTTTTGGAGCAGCCTTATGTGGAGAGGCTTGTTTTAGTATATCACAATTTAGCCAATTGGTCCAGTTTGTATTACCCTTTACCTGGTTACACTTATCTAACACCAGTTTTGGGTATTTTATCTTATGATGCTTCCAATTTATCAGCTAAATATCTGCCAGAGTTGGATATCAGAGCATCAGACAAGCCCATTTTGGTCAATTTTTCTAGTGTAAAGCCAATGCCAATGGCTAAGTGTGTGTACTTTAATTTGGATGGTGCAGTGGAATTTGACACTGTGATTAGTGGAAATATTTGCAAGACTACCAAACAAGGCCATTTTGCTATAGTGTTTGAGTTCACTGCTGCTGAGCCAGAACCTGCCAGTGGAGGTAGTGGCAGTAGTAATGGCAAAAGTGATCATAAAAGTGGTAGAAAAAAGTGGATAATTTTTGGATCAACGGTTGGCGGATTTGTGGCTTTGGTTTTCTTGGTTTTATTGATTGCTTGTGTAAAGAAGTGTGATAAGCAGAAAAAGATTGGGAGAATGGAAGAGGCAGCAGAAAGAGGTGTGCCATTGCTGATGACAAGAGTTGGGAATACAAAGGCACCAGTGGCTTCAGAAACTCGTACAAGACCTTTATTAGAGAATGAATATCTGCCTTAGATCATACTCATTTGCTTTAACCAAAAATTTTAGCATTTTTCGCAACATTTAATTCAATTCTTTTCAGCTCTTTGATTTTGTATCTTTGAATTCTGGTGTACATTCTATTTTGTTTGTTTTACCACCTTTTGATGAATACCATCTTAGACTATGCTATCAGCCTACTACATGCTTTACAATTGTAAATTTAATCAAAATCTAAGGGATATACACGTATGAAACCTTAGCTTTGCTGATTTTATGAGGTCCAACCTTCAACACGACATTAGTGGCTTAACTTTTCGAGAGTAAGGGGTAATAAGAAAGATTGCTCCGCTCCGAAAAGCTGAGTTGGCCGATGAAACCAACCCTTCTTATTTTGTTTTAAACAATGGTAAATTGATCAAGATTTTTTAATAGAGTTAACCCAACGTGGTCTGGAAGTTCCAAAACTGATGCTTGAAGAAAAGGGAAGTGACCTTACTTAAACCGAAAATAAAGAACCAAATAAATAAACAACGCCAATCCAAACAGCCTAGCACGTTAAAAGTTGACTTTCGATCAAGTGTCGCCCAAGTGATTCGCCACTTATTCTTTCTTGAGTGCTGCAGCTCAAATGTAACCATTTCCAAACATCCTATTCCAAATTATATTCCTTTTTTAGCTCCCTTTTGTCCAAATTTCGTAGTTCAACATTCCTCCTCCTAATCTGATGAATTCAACAGGTTATTTCTACATAATTCTCTGTTTTCTAATTGCTACTGTGATTGGATCTGAATCAATTACTTCAGCAAAAAACTCGCTTGATTCCTTACTTCAGCAATATGCATTCAGGGAATTAACCTGGCCAAGAGATTAACTGGTGTTCCTTATGATGCATATGTCCCTTGCAACTTGACAGGAATTAGAATATCAGCATTGATGCTTACAAGATACAACTTAAAATGGAGATCGTACGGCTATTATAAAGAATTCCTTATCCCTTCTGGGGTCATTGAGGAACCATACGCAAGGAAACTTGTTCTGGTTTACCAAAACTTGGCTAATTGGTCCTCCTTATATTATCCTTTGCCTGGTTACACTTATCTAACACCAGTCTTGGGAATCTTGTCTTACGATGCTTATGATTTGTATGCAAAAAATGTACCAGAATTAGATATTTTAGCACTGGAAGATCCTATCACTATCAAGTTCCACAATGTGCAGCCTGCACCACAAGGGTCTTTGCCCAAGTGTGTTTATTTCTACTCGAATAATTTGGTCGAATTTCGCCATGTCATAGATGGAAATATTTGTTTAACCAGAATACTAGGCCATTTTGCTATAGTTACTGAGGTGAAAATTGCTCCAAGTCGTCCTCCTACTCCTGACGAAATTGCCCCGAGTCCTTCTCCTACTGCTCATCATGACAATAATCATCAAAAGATGTGGACTTTTTCATTGCTATTTATAGTTTTTTGTCTCTCAGGAATATTATTTGTTATTGTAAAAAAGTATAGATTATGGGAAACAAGACGGTCGTTTGGTGATTCAGCAGCAATAATTGAGCCACTGTTAGGGAACATAGAGGCGCCATTGCCATTGGAAGCTCAAACTAGACCATTGTCGTAGAATGATTACGTGCTTTAGGTTACACAAAAACTATTCACCCAAGTGAAAAGAAATACATAGTGTATAATCATTTCTCGCAGCACTAAAAACACTAATTCATATGCTGACTTGCTTACTTAGGTACAACTTGTTTGTTATATTTTTGAACATATGATGATTCTAAGATTCGATTGTGCGTTCTTTAACCTTGACTAATCATTGGCGCAATAAAACATAAGATGGTATCATCCAAATATTGGTATAGTGATCACTATCTGGATGTGTGAAAGCCTTTTTTTCTACAGTGAGCCATTTTTTGCTTTGGTTCTCTTGGTTTTATTGATTGCTTCTCTAAGCAGTTGAGAATGAATATCTGCCATAGATCATACTCAGATTTTAGCATCATCTGGTAATCCGGATTCAAGATTTTTCCAACATTTAATTCAATTTTTTCCAGCACTTTCTTTGTGTTTTTCAGTTCTGGTATACATTCTATTTACTTTGTGTTATCACCTTTTGTGATTACTAGCTTAGACGTTGCTATTACACATCCTTTACAACTGTAAATTGATCAAGATATTTTAGTAGAGTTCACCAACGTGGTCTTGAAGTTCCAAAATTGATGCTTCAAGAAAGAGGAAGTGACCTTCCTTTTACCGAAAACAAAGAACCAAATAAATAAATAAATAAATAAATAATGGTTTTACATTATATATACTGATTGTGAAGAATTTTGATGATATCGTTGTAATTTAACCTATTATGACAAGTTATTTACTCTATTTTAAGAGTTACTAGTCTCTTCTCATGTACATTACACGTGTAATGTCAAAACAATGAAGATTTCGTATTCCTACCAAAAACAAAAATGTCAAAACAATAAAATTTAGTACTAATGCAATATTGACAAAAATTAATTAATTAAGTGTATATATCACGTATATAGTCAAAAGATTAGAATAGATATTGGCATAACATGTAAAATTCCTTTAAGTTGTAATTTCTATTTCTATTATATCAATGTAATGTAATATATGAATTTTTAATTCTTGAATGTCGTCTTGATCTTTAATATAGATCATTTTAGTTAAGCTAGTTAAATATTTTCTTTCGTAATTATATTAATTTGTCATATAAGGTACAAATATTAAATATAGTTATAATATATATAATATGTCTAAATATATAATATTCTCGGTGTATATTTCCTTCTGCCATATGGTTGCTCTGTCATTATCATAACTCTGGTTATTGACATCAAAGTTACACTATTTAATTCTTCTGACCGCAAGAATGCAACCCAAAAGGAAGAAGTGAATGGAAGAATTGCAAGGATCAAATAAGAATGACAAAAGTTATTCTAATTGCTTTAGTCTCTAAAGGAATGTTTGTTTATGGAGAATAGCCAAGAAAAGGAATATATATTAATTGGTTATTGGAGACAAGGAAAGATTGCACAAGTGCTAAGTGCTAAGTGCTAAGTGCTCTTCACCTTCAATCTTGACGTTGCGAGTTCGAGTCACCAAGTAATTAAAGTGGTGAGCTCTTGAGTAGCGGTGAAAAATAATTGCCTACCGGAGAAGACATCAATATAGTTTAGGCTTTGTGATAAAGCCAATTAACGGCCATTAGATAATTCATATGGGTTAGTTACTGTCACGACCCAAAATCTAACTAGCCGTGATGGCACCTAACCGCACCCGCTAGGTAAGCCAAATAACAATAATCCGATTCAATTAATATTTAACTGACTCAAATACACTCCCCAAGGACTGGTAGTACAAATCATGAGCTTCTAAGATTTGAATTTACAAAGCTGGTGTGAAATAAAATACATCATCTGTTTGAAATATACATGAATAAATTAATAATTCTAAAGTTACCAAGAACAAGAAACAAATATGACCGGATTGCAGGTACATCTTCAATGCTAGCTCCCGCCATGCATAACAACATCAACATCCAAATTTTGCACGCAAGGTGCAGAAGTGTAGTATGAGTACAACCGACCCCATGTACTCAATAAGTAACAAACCTAACCTTAGGTTGAAAGTAGTGATGAGCTTGTACCAAGGTCAGAGTCCACACCCATATCCAATAATATCTCATAACAATACAATTGAGGCAACACAAAGAATAACTCAATAATAAAATGTTCAGCTCGTTCACAGTTATGGAAAAATAAACATTTTCTTTTCAAGTATAATAGTAAAACTCAATTCTTTTAACTGAAATCACCAAAATATGAGTAAGTCTGAAAACTGTGATTTTTCCCAAAAAAACTTTCTTCCACAATAGGAAATTTCATTTTCAAATGGCATGAGAAAAGTACATCTTTATGCTTACATGTCAATGAGCATACCAATGCTATATAACATAGTGATAAAACCATATGCATACTCTCAGAGTATTAATTCACTCAGTCCTCCCAGTCACTCAATCCTCTCAGTCACTCAGTCCTCCCAATCACTCAATTTTCACAGTCACTCAATCCTCCCAAATCACTCGGCACTCGCGCTCGGCACTCAGCACTCGCGCTCGGCACTCGCACTCGGCACTCGCACTCAGTAGGTACCTACGCTCACTAGGGGTGTGTACGGACTCCGGAGGGGCTCCTTCAGCCCAAGCGCTATAATTTGCATGGACAACTCACGTGCTGCACGGATAACTCACGTGCTATAGTATCAATATCTGGATCCGCACGGACAACTCACGTGCTATAATAAGCCAATCTGGCCTGCTGTGGCGTGCAGCCCGACCCCATAATAATAAAGTATATTAAGCCAATATGGCCTGCTGCCGCGTACAGCCCGATCCCATAAGTATCCTCACAATCAGGCCCTCGGCCTCACTCAGTCATCAATCTCTCCAATCTCTCGCGCTCACAATGTCATGACACTAGCCCAAAATGATGATATGATGAAATGATGAATCAATAAATAGCAACAGAGATTGAGAAATGATATGAAATGAATGAACATGACTGAGTATGAAATTTTAACACATAAAACTACATAGAAAATGCCAAGATTATTTGACTACAAAATTTTACGGAACCAATTACGTCATAATTTTTATAGTACACGCCCACACGCCCATCACCTAGCACGTGCGTCACCTCCAAACAATTAACATAATATGTATATTCAGGATTCATACCCTCAGCTCCAAGATTAGAAGAGTTACTTACCTCAACAAGACGAACCCAATGTCGATCAAGCTAATCAATGCTTAGGAAATTCCATTCCGTGCGTATCCACCTCTGAATGTGTGATGACCCAAAATGTCATCTTTAAATTTAATAAGTAATTATGTGTTCTAAGACCTCGGAAAGTACCATTTATCATTCATCGACTTGCGTGCACAGTCCGTACAATTTTCCGAAAAGCGTTTATGTGAAAAATAGATTAAAATGTGAAATAGAGCTTTAAAAACTCAACTGAGTTGACTTTAGTCAACATTTTGAGCAAACGGACCCGGATCAGTGTTTTGTCAATTTCGATAGGTCCGCATCATAATTTGGGACTTGAGCGTATGTCCGGAATGGAATTCCAAGGTCCCTAACTCGAGATATGGAATTGTGATGAAACATTAAAAGCTTGTAAGCTTAATAATTTTTAAGAATTTACTAATGTTGGATTTATTGACACCGGGTCCGTATTTTAGTTTCGGAGTTCGGTATAGGTCCACTATAATATTTATGACTTGGCTGCCAAATTTGGTGAGAATCAGAGTTGATTTGACGTGATTCGGACGTCCGATTGTAAAATTATAAGTTTTAAAGTTTTCTTGAAAAATTCCTTTGATTTGGTGTCCAATTCGTAGTTCTAGGTGTTATTTTGGCGATTTGATCATGCGAGCAAGTTCGTATGATGTTTTAGGACTTGTGTGCATGTTTGATTTGGATCCTCGAGGGCTCGGGTGAGTTTCAGATAGGCTACGGGATGATTTTGGACTTAGAAAATCTGGTTTTTGAGGTTCTGCTGTCATTTGGTGCATTGTGCTTCGCGATCGCGAAGCCATTCCTGCGATCGCGAAGAGGAAATTGTAAGTAGTGAGTTTTACCCTTCGCATTCGCGAAGATAGGCACGCGATCATGGAAGGTAAACTCCCAGTGCACTGCAAACGCAAGGGACCAGCTGCGATCGTGTAGCAGGAAAGAAGGTAGAAGCTAGGCACGTCAATTGTTCTATGCAATCGCACAAGTAAGTACGCGATCGCGTAAGGCTGGAAAAATGTACTCCGCGATCGCATGAGCATTTATGTGATCGCGTAGAGTTAAAAGTCTGGGCAGCCAAAATGTGCTTCGCGATCGCGAAGCCATTCCCGCGATCGCAATGAGTAAAATGAACATAGGAAAAAGTTGTTCTACGTGATCGCGAACGAATTTCCGCGATCGCGATGAGTAAAAATCCCAGAAACATAACTTAAGTTCTAGAAATGGGGTTTCGACCCATTTTCAACTCTTTTCCATTTTTGAGCTCGGGTAAGGCGCTTCCTGGGCGATTTTCACGGGAAAACAGTGGGGTAAGTATCCCTTATCCTTTATTGATTATATTTCATGATTTCATACTCATTTATATCATGAATCCGTAAAATTTTGGAAGAAAAATCAGATTTTTATAAAATCTTCCAAAAACAAAAATTTAAGATTTGAAGGTTCATTTGACATCGGAATTGGATAATTTTTGTATGATTGAACTCGTCTCGGAATGGGTGTTCGAATTTCATAAGTGTTTCCGATATTTGAGACGTGGGTCCCACTTTCGAATATTTTAATGGATTTCGGATTTTTATCCGGAAAATTTGTAAATTCATATGGAATTAATTCCTATGATTCGTATTGAGTATATCGAGTTGTTTGTGAATAGATTTGAAGCTTTTGGAGACAAATTTAAAAGGAAAAGTTATGGTCGAGTAATTGATTGGAATTTGCAAAGCGAGGTAAATGTCGTGGTTAACCTTGACTTGAGGGAATAGAACCCTTAAATTATTTGTTATGTGAATTGCATGTGAACGAC